TAGTATGATTCAATCTGCATTCAGATTCCATAGTTCTTTTTTTGGATGTGGACAGCATTTTCTATCATGAGTTTTTTGGAGTTGTCTTAGATCACTGCATTGTTGAGAAGAGCTAAGTCTATCCAAGTTAGTCATTGCACAATGTGGCTGTTACTGTGTACAGTGCTCTCCTGGTTCTGTTCACTTCACTCAGCATCAGTTCATGTAAGTCTTTCTAGGTTTTTCTGAAGTCTGTCTGCTCATCATTTCTTATGGAACAATAGTATTCTATTACATTCACATACCACAACTTGTTCAGCCATTCCCCAACTGATGGGCATCCCCTCAATTTCCAATTCATGGCCACCACAAAAAGAGTTGCTATAAATATTTTTGTACATGTGAGTCCTTTTCCCATTTGTATGATCTCTTTGGGATATAGACCTAAAAGTACAGATCCCAGAGATCTCTTTGGGATACAGATCCTTGGGTCAAAGGGCATGCACAGTTTTATAGCCCTTTGGGCATAATTCCAAATTGCTCTCCAGAATGGTTGGATTAGGTCACAGCTCCACCAGCAATGCATTAGTGTTCCAGTTTTCCCACGTCTTCTCCAACATTTATCATCTTCCTGTCTAGTCATGTTAGCCAATCTGATAGGTGTGATGTGGTACCTCAGAGTTGTCTTGATTTGCATTTCTTGAATCAATGGTGTTAAATCACTTTTAAAAATGGCAATATACTCTTCTGTCTAAACAAATCATAGAAAATAAAAATCAGGGATTGGGTGTGCATTTTTAAGCTTTTCATTTTCCTGTAGAAAACATGGAGGTTCTTTTGACTTTACATTCATGGTGTTAAATTAAATTTTGTTAAGTTTTTCAACTTAACAGTTCTTTCAGTTAACATTCTGGTAAGTTTCCATTGTAATTCATGTCATCACAGAAGTGGTACATATGAATAAGGTTGGTGATGGAGATGTAACTCATTTTCAAGTTATTCCTTATATGCCTTGTTTTATCTTGAGTCTACACATCTTGAAATAGTGTTTCTGGCTTGAGATGATAAAAATTGGAAAGCTACATCAGAAATCACTTTTGAAAAAATGTCACATACATAAGAATAGAGAGACTTCTGAAATATGACATCCTACACTGTCATTTTTAGTCACCTCTCTATACAATTCCAAGCTGTCAAATTGATTAAAAAGTACATTTAGACCGATAAATACTATTCTACAGTGGTTTGCTATTGGCCTAGGATTTCACCTTCAGTGTAAAAATAATTATGGCCACTTTCAGCTTTTCTGTGAACTAAAATGCAATTATAAAAACATGGTTGTGTCTCAGAGAGTATATCTGATGTTGCAGAATCATAATAGGAATGGCTAACATAAAGGGATTTCATATTTAGAATGAATGGATTTTAAAATGGTCAAAGGATATGAACAGGCAGTTTTCAGATGAAGAAATTAAAGCTCTATCTATAGTCATATGAAAAAGTGCTCTAAATCATTAAATGCACATCAAAACAACTCGGAGGTACCACATCACACCTATCAGATTGGCTAACATGACAAAATAGGAAAATGATAAATGCTGGAGAAAATGTGGGAAAATTGGAACACGAATGCATTGTTGGTGGAATTGTGAACTGATCCAACCATTCTAGAGAGCAATTTGGAACTATGGCCAAAGGGCAACCAAACTGTGCATACCCTTTGACCCAGCAATAGGTCTGTATCCCAAAGAGATCATACAAATGGGAAAAGGACCCACATGTAAAAAATATTTATAGCAGCTCTTTTTGTGGTAGCCAATATTTGGAAATTGAGGGGATGCCCATCAGTTGGGGAATGGCTGAACAAGTTGTAGTATAAGAATGTAATGGAATACTATTGTGCCATAAGACATGATGAGCAGACAGACTTCAGAAAAACCTAGAAAGACTTACACGAACTGATGCTGAGTGAAGTGAGCAGAACCAGGAGAACTGTACACAGCAATATAACACTGTGCAATGACTAACTTTGATAGACTTAGCTCTTCTCAACAATACAATGATCCAAGACAATTCCAAAAGACTCATGATGGAAAATGCTATCCACATCCAGAGAAAGAACTATGGAGTGTGAATGCAGATCGAATCATACTAGTTGCTCTTTTTTTTTTGCGGGGGGGGTCCTTTCTCATGGTTTCTCCCATTGGTTCTAATTCTTCCTTACAACATGACTCATGTGAAAATGTTTAATATGAATGTATATAACCTATATCAGATTGCATGCCGTCTTGGGGAGGGTGATGGGGAGGGAGGGGGAGAAAATGTAGAACTCAGAATCTTATAGAAGCTAATGTTGAAAACTAAAGCTAAAAAAAAAAAATGGATTTTAGATTTTTCTGACCCAAACTGCGAAAAAATGAATTCTTCATAAATAGGAAACTAGTTCTAAACAGTTTGCCTCAAACAAGGCAAAATCAGAGCTATAGGAAATACCAAAAGAAATATTGTATGAGTATGAATTGAATACTAAAGCTTTTTCAAATAAAAGTGTTTTCCTTAGTGGCCACTCAGTTTTAGAATAGTGTTCCCCAAAGTCTGGAGTTCTCCATAGTACAAATGTATTCCTCTAAGCTTGATGTCCTAGTCATTTATTAGGCACTATCAATAAGCTAAATGCTTTCCATCAGCTTGACCTGACCTTGCCAGTTGGACTTGTATGTAAAAACAGCTAAAATACAGGAAACAAAGACCGTGGAGATGGGGAGAAACCAGCTTGTAGGAACTGACTCAGACTGTCAAATATGAGCCCAACATTTTCAATATGGTCACCTGTAAGCAACTGAAATATTAGTATTTTTAACACATTTATAGAAGAGAGGCAATATGACATACTGGAGAGAAAGCTAGCCTTAGAGTTAAGAAGACATGGGTTCAAATATTGCCTTGTGACACATACTAGCTTTGTCACCATGGGCAAGTCACTAAGCTTTCAGTTGTCCAAGGCAACTCTCAAAAACTTTGCACTTCTACACTGGGAATTCGCTATACTTACGAAATCACAGGTACAAACAAAAGAAAAAAATAGTGATGTTCTATAATAAGTTTAACATCAGAACTGGATGTTGCACATACACGGTCACACTTGGAGATAACTTCTATGTAAACCATCTTTTGACTCCTTTCCATTTTGAGCAATAGAATATTTTTTTTTGTCACTGTTCAAGTCCTTTTTACTTTGTGATTAAATAAATGTCATGCAGTTACCATTTTTCTATGATTTTTAACATCTGTGCCTATTCTTGCTAATTTTCTAAGTGCTACAATTGTCTCTGAGTTTGCTTTGTCATAGGGTAAATTAGCACTCTTCCCCTCCCGTGTGATTTGGTAGTTTGGCCTTATTTAGAAGACAAACACTGTAGATTACTAACACAAAATGCACTAGCATCAACGGCCGCCTTTATCGCTTCTACAAAGTACAAGTAAAATGTTTCAAGTTTAATGCACCATTGGGCTAATTAACTGTCCTCTCTTCCAGGTTTCATCTAGATGTCATAATGGCCTAAAGTTTTGTTTTTCTGAACACTGACATAGCATGCTGTGCGGGCTTCTCAAACTCAGCACGTCTAAAACAACTCATAAGCTACATCTCCAAACCTCTTTTCTTCTGAACTTCCTGATTTCTGTAGAGGAAACCACCATCTTTTCAGTTCCTCAGATTCACAGCTTCAGGGTCGTCCTTAGCACTTCACTCTCCTTCATCATACCAATCACACCAGTTGCCAAATTTGGTCTGTTTTAACTCTACTACATCTCTTCCATCCATCCCTTTCTCTTCACTTCTGTGGTCATCACCCTAATTCAGGACCTCATTACCTTTCATCTACACTGTTGCCTCTTCCTTGGTTTCCGTTCCTCAAGGCTCTGCCTTCTCCAAACCATCCTCTACAAGGCTGCCAGTGACTTTCCTAAAGCACAGGTCTGATCACATTTCTTCTCTATCAGTTCTCTCTTGTGCTATTGTAGAAGTTTGGCCCCCTGGAGCCATAAATCCACACCTTAAAGGAGGCTCCAATAATAGAGGTGTACTGAATGATCTTCCTGCTTCCATATTTACAAACTTCCCTGCTTTGCATCGAGAGCCCTTCACAACCAGACCTCAGTCAGCTTATCCAGCTGTATTATGCATTCCTCTCCTTTGTACCTGCTTCAGTCCAGACAAACCAGTCTTTGTGTGGTTCTTCCCATTCAGGACTCCACTTTCCATCTGGGTGGACACTGAGTGTCTCCCTTATCGTTGCCACCTCTAAAACTTTGTAGGTAGAATCCCTTCAGATGAGGCATTTGCTGGCCTTGCCAGCAGAACAGCTGGTGCCTCTTCCTTGACCCTTCGTTTGTACTCATGTACTTTATACATAACTTTTTTAAACAAAAAGCTGTCTTTTAAGCTGGCATACTTGAATGGTTAACAATTGCATGAAGACTTCTGGGACACCTCGTAGTTTACATGCTGCTCCCCACTCCAACAGAAGTTTGCTGAGGGTAGATGACTTTTTCATTTTGGTCTTTGTATCCTGAGCATCATGTATAGTGACTGGAACACAGTAGGCACTTAATAAATATTTCTGATTGATTGATAATGCCGAATGCATTATTCTTATTGACTTTTCCACTTTTCTGGAATCAGAGGCCTTGGAAGTCAATTTCAAAAGCAAATAAGAATATTGTTTCCTCTTTTTTTTTTTTAAACAGTTGTGGACATAATTGAGCAGCACATTAATTGGTTTTAACATTTCAACTTCCCCTGATATCAGTGTCTAACATTTCCCAGTACAAAGTTACCTGATGATGGTGGCAGTAGCTATGGCCATTGAGTAGATGACAGTTGTGGTTCTACTGAAGCCTGTGATAGGTCTAAGAGTGCCCAATCCTTTCACGAAAGTATGATTCTCCTGCAGTTATAATTCTCTTTGACAGGCTGTCAATACTTATCTTTCCCTCCGTCCCCTCCCCCCCATTTACAGGATAAGAGTCGCATGTTCCGTGTACAGTTTGGAGGTGATTCTAAAGAACAGGCCCTGGAAAACTGCTGCTGTTGTGTACAAAAACTTGAACAGTACATAACAATCCAGGTTCCTGATGAGCTGAGCCAGGAACTGCAGCCAGGCCCTAGCCAGCTGACAACCACGGAAAGTCAAGTGAAGGACAGTGAGCAGAGTGGAATGCTGCATCATGGAGTAAGTGGGCGGCTCTCATGCCAAACCTGGAGGAAGCACTGAGATAGAAAGCTTCATAACATAAAGTCAAGTTTAAATGGGCTCATGGGATCACAGATCTTTAGCTAGAAGCTAGAAGGGGGCTCTGAGACTATCTCATCCAACCCCCTTATTCTTCAGTTGAGGAAAAGGAGGCCCTGGGAGATAAGTGACATGTGTAGAATCAGAGCCAGTAAGTCGCAATGCTCCAAGGCCAGTGCTTTGTTCCATGAGAAATCTACTCATCTAGAGGGCACAGAGAAAAAAGGAATCAAGGGGCAGCTAGGTGGCACAGTGGATAGGGCTCTTGCCTTGGAGTCTGGAGGATCCAAGTTCAAATCTGGCCTCAGAAACTTGACACTTACTAGCTGTGTGACCCTGGGCAAGTCACTTAACCCTGATTGCCTCACCAAATATAAAAAAAGAAAAAAAAAGGAATCAAAATCTCAGGCAAAGCCTGTTTGATAAATAACTGAACACCTCCCCTCCCCAGAGGGGTGGCTGCTATGACTTTCAGGATCCTATAACCCTGTGGGTGACTATCCTCCTGAAAACTAGCTCATAAGCTCCCACCAGTGTGCTATCCCTTAACAGTCAGCCAGTAGACTCAGTTCTTTTGTGAAGGAATTTATTCAAATAGCACAGCAGTAGAGGTAGTTACAAAGCAGTTCCCCTCAATATCAGGGAATACTCTCCCACAGATAAACCCAGGGTCCAAACGATGGAAGAATAGACACATATTTAATGTCCAGCAGCAGTGAGGCACATATGTGAGTAACACAAGTGACCAAAGCCACTAACAACTCCAGAAATGCAGGGCATCAGTCTCTCTTCTCCTTCTGGAGAGTCCTCACTACCTATGTTGTAGGGCATGGTGTCTGGGATGGGTGCCTTGCTCTGCTTTTCAGCCAACATGGTACCCGCTGGTCTGTGTGAACTGGTTCCTCAGTGGGATTGCTCCTTAATGGGTATGATGTCTCAGCTGGATTGAGCGAGCCATGTAGTGGCTGTGCTGGCTTCTCCCTAGGTATCATGCCTGCTGGATTGGGCCAGCAGTTCACTGGTGCCAGCCAATGCCAGACAGACCATATTGGTCCTAGGAGAAGGTGGCTAATGGAGAAGGCGGCTTGTTCTTACTTAGGCAGCAAGTTTTTTTTGTATACTACTTTGGAGCACCTTCTGTGAGGGAGGGCAATGACCCTTAGCTTAGGATCAGCAGATTCCCTCAGAGTTCCAGCTCTGAGATAGTTTGTGTCCTCCAAGCAGGAGAAGGGAGAAAGCTTGCCTTCCTCAGTCAACAGATTCTTCCAGGCAAGTCTCAAGAAGCCACTCCATATTGTCTTAGGGGGATTAGTTTAATTCAGTCAGTTTTACCTGCCATCCTCCTTTGGGAATGTTATGTAGCCAGTGGCTGGGGACATAGGCAGATGACAGTCTGGGCCCTGAAGATGGGTAATTAAGTTACTCAAGCCTCTCGCCCTTTCTGGGGTGGAAAAAGGTGGTATTCCTCTGGAGGCTCTTCCCCATTACTCTTCCACATTTGTCTTTTAGCTCTTGCATACCCTCAGTGTCTGCTCATCTCATTGGGGCACCTGTTACAAAAGGTTTTGAGCAGAAAGGGAGCACAAACAAATGTGTGCCTGAGAAGTACTGTTCTGACAGCATTGTGAAGAATGGGTTGAAGGAGAGGGGAAACCTGTTAGAAGGTATTGGGCTGGCCTGGGAAGGCAGTGATTGGGGCCTGTGCTAGGAAGGTGGCTGTGGAAATAGATGCTGTGAGGGAGGAGGCAGAGGCAGAATCCAAAGAGTCTGGAGAGGAGAAGGAGGAGAAACAAGGTCACCGAGGTGGAGATGTGAGGGCCTTTCCTCTGATAAATCGCCTTCCAACATTTACACTAAGTGTGTCACAGTTGTACAGCTATTTGTGTGTTGCTTCTCCATTAGAAGGTGAGCTCTTCCAAACAGACTTCATTTTCACCTTTCTTTGTATCCCTATCCCTTAGCACAGGACCTTGCTTTAGAAATGCTTCTTGAATGAGTTACTGAGTTCAGGTGCCATGAACTTCAATGGTGAAGTCAGAAGGAGGAATTGGTAGGGAAAAGCTAATAAGTTTGGTTTTGGCCATGTTGACTTTGAGTAACAGGGGGGACATCCTCATAGAGCTGTCATGCAGGCAGTTGGAGAAGCGGGGCTGGCCATAAGTTAGAGAGAATTGGGCTCCATCTGCATTGAAGTAGTAGCTGAAAGCCTGGGAGTGATTGAAATTTCCAAGAGAGATATCCAAAGTCAGAACGTTGTGGAAATCCACTTTCATGAGGATAACACAGAAAAGAAGCAGTTAGAAAGATATGAAGACTAAGTATGACATTTCTGAAACTGGTGGAGAGGGTATCAGTACTGGCTAGGAGGAAAATCTGTTGCATTTGGTGATGCTGTGGTCGCTGGTGATAATAGTGTCAGTAAAGTGGTGTGAGTGGAAGGTCAAGTACAAGGGGTAAAGAAGTTGAGACATCAGGCATTTTTTTTTCCCCAAGAAATTTAGCAGTGAAGCAGAGAGGAGAACTGAGAAGCCAAAAATGCAAAGGGTTTAGGGGAATTAAAAAAAAAAAAAAGATTTCTGATCTCGATGGCTTCTTCAAGAAGTTTGACCACAAAGAGAGAGCTACAGGACAAAGAGTTCCCTAAATAGTACCACTGAAGCCACAGGTCTGTCTGCAACAACTCATTTTAAGATAGTAGAAAAGTAAAATGATGATATCACAAATTCCTATTCCTCTTTCTTTGATCTCTTTGGGATATAGGCTGAGATATTGTTGGGTCAACAATTAAAGCAGTACTGCAAAGTAAATTGGTTTGTGAAAAACATGCTTGTGAAGTGCACTGTCTATTAAAATTACAAGGGTCCTTGGGCAAAAATAAAAAAAAAAAAGTAACCCCAAGGAAAATATGTTACTTGTTTTTGATTGAAAGAAGTGAAGCCATGCTGCTTCTGTCATCAGACATAACATTTCCCCTGGGCCATTTCAGGCATGAACATCACACCATCCCCTTGTTTCTAGTAATTCTACTCCCTGTTCTTTTGATTAGTGTCTCTGACTCAGAGGTTGCATACAGATGTTCCTGGATGTTTGGTGGGCAGGGGAATGACTTTTAGCCTTTCAGATATTGAGGCCTGTCAAGTCGAGGTCATGATTCTTTGGTACTAACTTCTGATACTTAAAGGGTTTCTAAGAAGTAAAATCTAGCTCAGTTAAACAAAGATCCACACTTTTCGATTTAAAAGTTTCACTTTTGTAAATGGGTCTTAATATTATTATTAATAGTATAATAGATTCAACCTATATTTTGATATATTATCTTTCAGTGTTTTGGACAATTGCATTTTTTCTTGGATGTTCAGATAAAAAACTATAGCATTTTTAAGAACATTCCATCCTTCAAATTTCATTTTTTAAAATGTATATTCTGTTTTATTCCAGTTACATCTGAATTTAAAACAGCATTATGCATCTTCCTACACCTTTCCAGAAGGAAGGATAACAATGGTACAACTAGCACAGGTAGAGCCAACTTTTGTGATCAGTGTTTTACAACACTCAGTGTTTTGTTTTGCAAAAGCAAAATTAATTTCTATTTCACTTTTGAGCTTCCTATATAGTAACCCAAAAAAGTGAACTTGAAATCATGAGCAAGGAAGCTTAGAAATCAAAGGCAGAAGAGAATTAAGGGACCATTTTCTTTATCCCTGGTACAAGATTAGACAAGCTAGTACATGGTACAGGAAAATTGTTTTCACAAGTAAATAAAAATAGGAAGAATGATTTGATAGCAAGGGCCAGAAGCCTTTTAATGTGTGAGATAAAGAAACAGCCACCACTTCCCCAGGTGATTGAGGGGAATAGCCTCAATTTAATTTTGATAATGAATTTTGGAGCTATTTCAGAGAAAACACTGAAAACCAATTTGGGGGCAGAGGCAAATCAGCTACAGTTTTCAACGGTAAGTCTTCATTGCTAAGTGGCCTTCATTCTCACCAGCTCAGTATGGAAAAAGAGGCGGGAAATGTGAGAGAATTCAGTCTTGGTGCAACAGACCTGCTTTCTCAACAGAGGCCTACCTGAAATGCTGCTTCGGTATGCTTTTTTTCTCCTTGTAGTTTTGTTTTTCACTTGAGAGAATTTCTAGATTGTAGGTTTGTTAATTCAGACATGAACTTTTTGAACATTCAAAATAATAATAGCTTTCATTTTCAAAGCACTCAAATATCTAGCCAAAATTTGCAGGTTGAATTAATCTCATTTTTAATAAAGAAACTGAACCCCTGATAAGCAGAGATTAGATGGCCTCAGCCTGAGTACAACTCCAGTGACAGAAAATGCAGTACACCAGAGGAATTTCATTTATTCCAGATTCTTCACTTACTTCTACATTCAACAAATATTTTAAATCACTCCTTGGGCAGTGCTGGAGGTGGTGAATAGGAAAAGGGGAGGATTAGTTTAAAAAGGGCCATAGGAGGAGTAATTCAACTTCTGCTTAACTATTGCTGTGTGTGTGTGTGTGTGTGTGTGTGTGTGTGTGTGTGTGTGTGTGTGTGTGTGTGAAAATTTAAGCAGAAATATAAGCATCCCCATCCTCATTTATTTCTGACTGCAATTCAAGAATGTTTCCATTTTTCAACCCTCTCCTTTCCTATAATGAAAACATTCTTTTTCCTCCAGCTCAAGCCTACATCTCCCCAGCCCAAAGTGATCTCTCCTCAAGTCTGATGAATTCATGATTCATTTAAGCCAATGCTCCTGTGGATGCAACTTTTCAACACTTTATCCAGTCTCATTCATCCATATTTTCCCAGAAATTCTCTATAGAACAGCTCTCCAGTTGATGTTCTTTTAGCCATCACTGGATTCCAGTTATTTCTGATTTGTACTATTTAATTATTACTCTCTCTTCTCAAAAAATGATAGGAAGTAAGAGGTCTCTTAAGTTATCAAAACAACAACTTTGTGACAAGAGTGTCAAGTGATAATGCATCAGAATGATGAGATGATATTTACATAGTGCTTTAAAATTTGTAAAAGATTCTAACAATCTCCTGTGGAGCTAGGAGTAGGTACTAACGGTTTTATTATCCTAATTTTATAGATAAGGACATTGAGGTTTAGAGGTTTGGGGACTTGGTGTCAAAGATAGGAAAACCTCTATCTTCAAGCCCAGTGTTCCATCTACTTCACCAAACAAACTGCATAAGCAGATGACAGAATCTGCTTATACAGTATTCTTTGGTGAACACTCTTTAAACATCCTGTTGTCTGCATAAGCAAGTGATCATTCCTAATAATGTTATTTACTGTGTGCTTTTATACATCACACGTAGGCGTTATAAAAGGTCTGACCTAGGGGTTCTTAACCTAGGATCTAGAAACTTAAAAAAAATTCTGATAACCATATTTCAGTATAAAAGGTTTCTTTTGTAATGACATGTATCTTACTTTATGACTTTAAAAAACATTATCCTGAGAAAGGGACCCCATTGGCTTTACCAGACTGCCAGAGAGGTCTATTAAAAACAAAAAAAGGTTAAGCACCCCTCTCCCCCAGTTTACTCTTTAATCCAGTGCTATTTTAGGCTTTCTTAACATACAAGGAAATTGTGTTGTGATATTAACTATTTTAAATGAATATTTATTTGAAGTACAGTCAGTTCTGCAATAATGTGACATGTGTTCCTAAAAATCACCCTGCAACATCACGCAATAAAAACTGGGGTTAGCACAACACTCAAAAGCATTGTCAGTGACACTTAAAAAAGAGAGGAACCGAATAAAAACAGTAGCACGGTTTTATACATGTAAAATGGTTAAGAAATACACAAATATTACAATGAATAGTGGCAGTGTCCATGGCCTCAGGCTGCTGTTCGATGCCCTAGCTCCCACAGGGCCTGGATTGGCAATGTCAAGTCACTGCTGGAGAGGGGGTGGCCTTGGTGAGCAGAAATTCCTGGGGCCATGCTGGAAGACGGGGTAAAGGATAGGGTTGGACCAGCCCTCCTCAGCCCACAGCTTCTTCTGCACCAGAAGATACACAATAAACATAGCACTTGACCTTGAAAAAGACCCGAAGTTTGTTTGTGGAAGTGGTGCAGTTTTCTGTGTTCTCTTGCTGTTTCTCATTGATGAAATAGCTTACAAGCAAACACAAAATTCACATTATGCCGAAATCATTCCCTAATATACCAATCACGTTGGAACAAATTAGTTTGCAGAACAAGCGTTAGAGCAGAACTGACTGTATGCTTTTATAGATGGATATACCTTTTATGCATTTAAACTCAGAATGTTACACAGTCTGTTGCTCAGAAAGGTCAGAACTACAACACTGGACTAAGTGGTTTCTGAGGTTCTACTTTTTAAGCCTCTTTTTCTTACAGATGAGGAAACTGAGGCCAGGGAAGTCAAGAACTTTACCCAAGGTCACACAGCTAGTAAATAGCAAAGTCAGGATTCAACCCAAATCTCCTGACACCGTAGTCACATGTTATCCTTCAACCTCTGAATGTGGCACAGGCACTTTAGAAAAGGTCATTCACTGTAGTCTCTTCTTGGCAAAACATCTGGCTCATTAATATGGAATACCTTTATTTAAAAAGGGCAGATTATGAAATGTATTCCATCAGATGGTTATGTGAAGCTTGAAATAGAAGGCTCCCTTTTCCTATTGTTAGTAGTCACCTCTGTTTAGTTCAGAGAACCATCCATGCAGGTGACTCAAGAAAGGCATGGATTCTGTATGATTCACACTCTTAATTTCATTGTCCAGTAAGCTTGCCTTGTCCTGTCTTTGCAGTCTATCCTGACATCAGCAGAACTACCACTTGCCTATGAGCAAGCTGCATGGAATGCAGAAGAGTTAGGTCCCTTCCTGAAGTTGTGCCTTATGGATCAGAATTTCCCAGCCTTTGTTGAAGACGTAGAGAAGGAACTGAAGAAGTTGACAGGGTTGGAGAGTTAATGTTGTCTACATAAATAGCTATCTTATTGATAAAATGCTTTGTCCCAAAGTTAGTGGAATAAAAATTGTTGTTTCAACATCTTTCTTTTATCAGCGTTTTATTTTTAAAAACATGTGAATCCACTTTTTTTATACATCATTGCACTTCAACAAATACACAGAACACAAGTTCATGCATCGACAGCTCTGCACCGAATGAGAACCTCGTCAGGTTGTAATTCTACAATCAACCTTTTAAATCAAGACGGGAAATTACAGTGTCCAACTGAAAAGTATAATTAGTTGCATAGAATATTACCATGCTATAACACTTTTAAGATCATTGAAAACAAAAAAGTAAATTATAAAAGTCTGCCTGAATTAAATGTACAAAGAATATGGTTCAACACATCAGTGCAAAAGGAATTTAAGAATTTACATGATTTAACAACAACAAAATCACTTAAAAATCAATTACACACACACACACATATATATGCATATATATGTAGTGTTTACTGCAATTCATAATCACTGCTCATTAGACTGTCCCAGTATCTCATTAAAGTCTTAGGTTAAGCCCTTAAGATTATAAATTTCAGTTTATATTACTCCTCTAAGTACCAGAACAGTATAATTCTCTCATCTGACAACATACAATAAGGAATGAGTATCAGCAGCTTAAAAAGGAATCAAGCGTTTACTGTATTTTGGTTTTCCCCACCCCCAAAAATATAAATATATATAATATATATATATATACTGTATATATTTTTAGGTTTGCTGTATTTTACAAAAATGTATCACTAGATGGCAGCAGTGCAATTTAGAGCTTTGCCAATGTAATAGCTGCATTAAGTAAAAGATGGCGCATGCATGAGCTGATTGATCCTCACAGGACCTTTCTTACTTCTATTTAAATATTTTCACAAAGGAAAAATGCAACATTCACAGCACATCAAGCCCCAAATAGTTTACACCTTCTACACTGAAGCATTGTTTAAAATGTATCTGGTGAGGCCATCCTTACAAGGCTAAATAAGGCATGCTTTAGACAGTCGTCGGCATTGTTGCTCACTTGAAAAATCAGGAGAGAAAAAGAAAAAAAAATCAAATACAGCTGGAGTTATGGAACCAAAGAGGTCCAGGCATAAAATTTAGCAGGTCATGTTGCCACCAGTCTCAGGAAACTAAAGCTCTGTGAAGAAACAAAGGATTTGAAATTTTAAAAGGAGATTGCTCTAGCCATCGGTACCTTAGTAGGCAGGACAGGGTGGACACTGAACAAAACTCGGGGACAAACAACATGCTCAGGGATGTGGTGTGAAATTCTGATCTCCATGTGCCAAAGGGGAGAGAATTCTGGCATATCTGCTGATCCAGATATGTGGGGTATTAGGGAGGACTTAGCAAACAAAGTGCGAGTTGGTGGCTTCCAGGAATAATCCAGCCTGAGAACGTCACTGATTTTTAGCCATTTTCAATTCCTCGATAAGTGAGTAGTGCCGCAAAATGTTGGCTTTAAAACCTCCAATGTTAACTGGAATGATGCATGCAAATAGGACTCTACTCAGTTGGAAAGTGTTCCTTCTCAGTCACCAAGACAGACAGAACATTGTCTGCAATCCTAAAACTCTTTCAACTATGTATCCCCACCATCAACTTTTAGAACAAAAGTCAACAGATGTCACTTCACTTGAATGTAACTTTGTAAATGTCTGAAGAAGGCCATACTTACATTGTAAGCAGTACTTAATTTGTGTTTCTCTGGCGCAAGTTTTTATCTTTGTGATTGTTGGTGGAGTTGGTTTTCCTTTGGAGGAAAAATTACATCGTGAGAGTTAAATTCAAAGTCAGTAGAAATTTTTGAAAATTTTAAACACATGGAAATACAGGGAACCTTTCACTTACTGCCATCCCTGGTGTAGTAAGAAGTTTTACTGCACAGAACTAATATATGAAGGTTTTCTACCAGGAATGCTTCTTGTAAGCTACTGTATTTCATTTAGCAGACCTTTTGACTGCCAAGTCAGCATACAGCCATCTTTCACTTTGTTGTATTGTCAATTGTAACCTAACTCAAAGAGAATCTTTCTAATTGCAAAATTTTACAAATGTTCTTAACATTCCCTTATAGACTTAGTTTAAAAAAAAAAAAACTTTTGGGGTGGGGGGGCAGGGAGAGGAGGGTTTCCTGCCTACCTTTTCCCTTCCCCTACCCCCCAGGCACTCCATTCTCTGGCCATAAAACATCCCTTGATTTCACAATTGCAGCAGCCTTTCTCCCTGAGGTCTACACTGGTAAGTCAGTTGAGCTGTATTATCACAATTCACTAACCAGCACTCACATTATTTATTCCAGTCTAAAAATAAGAATCATAAAATTTTAAAGCTGGAAAGGGGGGTGAGGGTGGGGAGGAGGCCTTAGAATCCAGTGCCTTCCCTTCCTTTTAAAGATGAAAGACTCAGAATCGTGAAATAGTTTCCGTTGTTACCAATTTGAAATTTTGTAGTACATTAAGTTTACCTAAAATAAACTGTGTGTACACTAAAATAATTAACATTATTTAAAAAAAATTAACCATATTGCATATCCTGAGAATCAAAAGATCATCCATCTGGCCAGTGTTTAATACACTGCAACATTCACTTCCCTTTTCTTATAACCACTGCTATTCCAATTCACCCCACTTTATTTCACTGCAAATCCAAAAGAATTCAATTCCATTCTATCAGATAATTACTAAGGCAGTCACTGGAGAAGGTACTTACATTGGCCCAGCTGGTTCATCATCTGCAGTAGGTATTTCAGTTCAAATTTCATTGAAAGAGAAGGGAAGAAGAGAGACAGCAGAGTTAGAGTACTGTAAAGAACTTTTACCTGGACCGATAATTGCAAATGGCAAACTCGTCTATCCATAGCATTTATTAAAAGGCCATTCCACTTGGTAGTGCAAAAGACTCATGGAGTTATTTTTCTGATTTCAAGTTTTTAATGGCAGGTATGTTGTTTCAATGATTTTAGTTAACACTTTGAATGCTTGTCATGAAAAACTGCAACTGTAGTGGACAGATAGCTGCAATATCATTATACTCATCTTGTCCCCAAGTTCCAGTGGTTCACTCTTAAATAGATGAGAAGACAAACCAACATTTCAGTTGTAAAATCCTGCTGTTTGTTTTCTTGAAATGATTGCAGTTTGGAGTCAGTCTTCCAATATGGATGGACTCGTATGTTCTCTATGGTTACAAGCAAATCTTTGCCTCCCCCAAGGGACAGTTCTTTTTCTCCATGTTTGTAATTATACAGGGCATCATTAAAATGGAGAACAAATGAAGTGGTGGAGTAGGAAGCCACAACAGTGAAGTGTGACATTGGATAATAAATGCTGCCCTTGGCCAGCAGGGGGTAACATGCACCTTCAAGAATGAAAGTCAAATGGTAGTGTCCTCCCTCTACTGAAAGGGCATGAGAACCTGTGCTCTGCCTGCATCCTGGCCAAAACCAGAATTAAGAACCAGAGGTTTTTCAAAAAGAATTCAGTCATCTGAGTTTAGATGCCTTCTCACAAATTTACAAGATCCAATTAGCATTTGATAGTTACTATTTAGGTTGTTTTTGTTTTCTTGCTCCCACTAAGGGTGACCAAAATGCTTCTAAGCAGAGATGTAAAGAAACCCACGAAGGGCAGGGAACATTTACATGAGCTTTTCTACTGGATATTCCATTTTACACACAGGTAAAATCAGATGGATTAAATCAAACAGAACCATCTGGCTTCACTCAAGTCAAACTCTCAGCAGGATTCCACAAGAAGGCTCGGTGCACATGAAGCAGGTATGGAAATTACAGTCTCAGTGTAGGCATCTGCATGAGCACACACCAGGAGGAATGTCTGTCGGAAGGAGACATTGCTCCACCTGTACCTTTGAGGCAACGGAGAGGCAAAGCTACCGCCAGCACACACAGTGACCGGAGCAAAAAAATATTTCAAAAAATAAAGAACTGACCACAGACCAACAACTCAGCAGCCAAACAACAGGCTAGCGACACCCTCAGTGTCCACAGGAGTCCATCACTAGCAACATTACACTCACTATCCAAAAACGGGAACAGAGAAAAAAACCAGGACAACCAAGACATCCATGTACTGTATATGCAGTGGGGATATACAGAGACATACTAAATACTGAGACATAAAGCACAGACTAAATCCTCCCCTCACAAACATCTTTCAATTCCCACTGTCACATCCAAGCCAAAAATGCTACATGCTAGGAACGAGGCACTACTGAAACTTGTGAATGGAGAACAAGACACCAGCAAGTTCATTACTATCTTTAGCGAATGCTCTAGTGGGGCCATCTAAAAACCCCCAGTTCTAGCACAAGATCTTAGACTTAAGAACATCAGCACCCTGGCTACCGAACTGTAAAGCAAACAAGAAAGACAAAACAAAAACAGTGTCGTCTGGATAATGTTTCGAAGCCTGCCCTAAGAGTTTCCCCTCACTGTGACAAAGCATGATTCTTGGTCTAAGTTTAATGATGCCATTCTGTAGCTGAACAGGCTTCTGACGTGCAAAGGGCTGCATGTAGGTAGGTGTTTCAGCAATGATGAAGCAGTGTGGGTGCCATGCCTGTGAGTGGGAGCAGTTGTTATTCATTCTAGCTTCTAAACCTGATGAACTCCTCCCCTGCCTCCCCCAAAGTTCACTTGCACATTCTTTTCTAGAGGTTCAAAAGAACAAAGGAAAAAAGCGTTGCATTTCTACCCTCTGGTCTGAACCACTAACTGCAGCCAACATACCCACAGTACAGTATGGACAAAAAAGGGACTCAACCCCTAATGAGAAATTCAGGGGAGAGGGGAAGAAAACAGAAATACAGTTGGGGGGGGAGGGGTGGAGAAGTAGGGAGGGGGATGGGGAGGTACAGAAATAAAAAAAAAGATTAAACAGCAAACTGAAATCCAAATTAGTTGTGAACGTGAATGAGGTAAACTTGAAGAAAAGTGTTAACATCATGAACTGTGCATCGTATAGACTGAAGCGGAGAGTAAACAAACTCCAAAGCATGCAGATCGCTCACTTACCACCATTTTTAAGGGTATGATGCAATTGAGGGGGGAAAAAAAAGAAGTCATAGTAACCGACAAATATCAACATCACCCCAAACCCTTGGGCTTATTTATGACTGTTCTCTCACACTCCCTATTATTTGCTGCCAGTGGTCAGATGCAAGTACTGGGGAGGTCGGAAACAATGTGTGTATTCTATTCTACTTTGATATGTCAAAGCGAAATCCTGGGTAGGACTGCTGAAAACTAGGATTCATCCTGAATGTGCAGTCTCTCCAAATGAATGCACTAAGCCCTCACTTCTCCTGAATTTGCCTTGTAATCTGAAGAAGGATCTGCAGGTGCCCAGTGAATCACATTTTATATAACATAAGACTACCTGTAGGCAAACTGATTTTAAAGAAAAGAACTTTAAGCGATCACTCTCTACTCAGTACTTCTCATTACTATTAGATTTTAAAATGAGAGTTGTAGGTTTGATTTTAATATTTCATTAAGATTCAGCCCTTACTGCCTTTCCTCATTTAACTTGGATTTCTCTTCATGTTAGAGGAAGGGATATTCCACCAAAGCAGAACACATTAATCTAAGATGTGTCTATGTGATAAAACAGGACAGTGGCTGCTTTAATTTCATCTGATCTCAGCTGGTTTCCACTTTTACTTTCAGTTACTTTCTTGTCTTTTTCTATGATCTGTTTTGTTACTGACCCACTTATCTTCTAGTTAAAGAAAACTGAATATGCATTTTGGTAATCACTTAAAAGAAAGCTGTTTGCTTTCAGGCCTTCTACAGAAGTTCAGATGGTATATAATCTTTATGTGGAGAATGATAAATAGGCTTGGGAGTTAAAGTATTTCCCAATATCAAAATGGTTCTAGAATCCTGAATGTATCTGAGCCAAATTAAAATTTGGAACAATCTGTTAAAATCCCAAAGGGCCCTTTTTGTTGGCTTATAATTTTTTTTCCTTAACTCCTCCATCCTCCCAACCCCAAGTCTCCCTTTGCTTCAGCATCTTCGATAGATGGAAAATAGATGGAAGCACCCCATAACAGTTCCCAGGATGTACTCTTCCCAAGGTGAGGGACTAAAACCATCGGTCACTCTCATAATCTCTCAAACTGTGATGTAATCCAGCAAGAACAATTTAGAATCACATGTTCATGGCACAATGTATGTCTGTATCTGGCCCCAAAATGAAATTGTGCCTCCCCCTGCTTCCCTCAGTATTTAACATCTAACCTTTTCTAGTTATTCAAAACCAGATTCAGACAAGACACACTCTTCATGTCCCAGTGAGCCCTTATAAAATTTTCTCAGGGTCTAGAGAAGGACAAAATTTCTAAATGGTGTGCTAACATACTAAGGCAATCTATTCCGAAGAAAACACATGTGACAGGGTCTAGGGATCATTTAATCCTTTCTAGGTTAGAGGATCCACTGAGAAAATGACCTCAGTATTTACTGACCCCCCAGGGCACCATTTATGTAATATTTTAATGCAACTCTATCAAAAGTGGAACATAAGAAGAAAAATAATTATTCCACTCTGCTGTAGATAGTGCTATATACCAGCATTTGTTTTTCAAGCGAGAGGACTAGGATACCAAGAACTGGTGGGCTGAACAAGATGTGAATAATCAGTAAAGGGTTCACATGCCCAAAAAAAGCAGTGAGTCTGAAATGGAATGTAGGCATATCTTGGTAATAAAGCACCCATCTGGCAGAGAACAATCACGTCAGGTCTATAAAAAGATTTCTGTTCCCATAATGGTATCTAAGAAGCCAATACAGAGTGAGAAGAAGGATGCCCCAAAGGTGTATGCTGATTGGCCTGGAAACTCAATCTGAAAGCAGGTATAATTAACTCCTTCCATCCATTTCAAAGATTAACCAAGGGGTGTGGGCATGGGGGAGGAAATAATATCTGATAAATTTAGGAAGGGGCTGAGGAGAGTGTGTGAGGAGGGAAAAGGCACTGAAAAATGAAAAGAAACAATAGACCCAGGGAAATGGCATGAAGAGTACAAGAAATACACTTCTTTGAACAAGTTATAAAAGGAAGAGAATGTGAGAGATGGTGAAAAGGAAATGATGGGGCAGCAATGTAAGAATGGAAAGCAAAACCTGCACCATGCTTGCTGTCAGAAGGGGGAGAGAGGAAAAGATAGCCACCACAGGAAGGCCAGCGTGTCACATTTTTACCCAAATGCAATGCCAGGAAACAATGAGTTGCTAGCTTGGCCACACCTTTCCTTCAGGTGCTCACACTTACCCCAGCAGGCAGGTAGGTAGACAGACAGACTGCCCTTTTTAAGCAGGGCTTATTCATTTTAAGTTAAATTATTCTTTCGACAAGCCAGGGTTCTTCTTCTCAGTGGCTGAGTGGGCTTCCTGGCCAGAGAAATCTCTCAGCAGCAAGCTGGTCTCCAAAGCTCTCATCATTTGAGTCTGACAAATGAGTAGATCTTAAAAAAGGTGGTTGGCCTCCCCGGGAGTTGTCTACATTTTTCTAATGGCATCAATACTCAACACTCCTCAAGTCTACTTGAGTCTTTTCACAGGTCTGGCTATTAGTACAAGATGGTAAGTGGCTTCCCAAACAAGTCTTGGAATTGGGAAGAATCATGTCGTTGAGCTGGCTGCAAGGCCAGCGAGACTACTAAACCTCCTGGATGAGGTGCTTTGTCAAGGGCACTTCTAGTCCCTGCCGTTTTTACAAAAATGCCGTTTTTACAAAAACGTAATCTCAAAGCCTCATTTTTGGCTTCTCAGCCTTCCTGGGGAAACTGGGTAAGAGCTAGATTTAGCAGAGTGACCATGCCCTGCACAGTCTGAGCCTTGTATTCAATAGGAGGAAATAGTCCCTGTCCTCCAATGAGGCTGAATTGCCCCCAAATAGCCAAAGGTAAAAATGAGAGCAAACGCCAAGCCACTCTCTTTGTGTCCTCAAGGCTACACTACATGGCAGAAGTAAGAAAAATCTTAACTTCAAGGGCATTAAGGCTTCAGAGAAACATGTATCTAAACCTCTTCAGCTCAGAAAGCAGCAGTGCCACTGGCTGAGCAGGGGAGAGGCCAAGATCCCAGAGAATTAGGTAGACCGGGAGCCATCACAAGTGACTAAGAGGCCTGAGCCAAGGCAACGCCACAGCGACAGTGCCTTCCCGGCAAGTCTGTGCTCAACTTATTATGAGGGGATGCTAGAGGGAAGGCTGCTGAGGCTCCAACACACAGCCCACAGCACTAGGGCTTACCCAAAGAACCTGTTCACCTCTGATTTTCATTCTACTTAATTTAAGCAGAGATTTGGGGTGAGAAAGAAAAATAAATTCCAGAATAACTTGCATCCAGACTTAACTGTCTGATGTCCCATGAACCAAAGACCCTAAAAGCACTTCTGAGTAATGCTCCTTCTGCAGAGGTTCCACAATGGTGTCTACACACAGTCAAAGGCTCCAGGCTAGAGCAGTTCATCTAGTATTTTCAGCTGTACTGAGAAGCCACTTGGCTGATGGGCTAAATTTTACACGCATACTTTTCAAAAGGCCAATGGTCTGTTTTCCAGATACTTCAGAGCTGCACAGACCTAGTGCCTTTCACTCTGGGTAGAACCCGAACCTTGGGAGTCATGCCCTATCCCCAAATAGACAAAGCGCCTCAGAGAGCCACTGTGGGTGGAGGCACCACTGCCAACTGAATTCTAAAGCTTTGCTGCCGTCCCACTCGCCAGAAGGGAGAAGTCTGATGATCTGGAGAACGGCATGGGTCGGGCACGGTGGGGAGAGGAAGGAGAGATAGTAAGAGGCCTCTATCACATACAAAATCTGAAGAGGCAATTTTGCCTGAGGTTCACTCTGTCCAAGTCATCTCTAAAACCCGGCCAGCTTAGTGGCAATGCTTTGGGCCTCTGAACTGAGTGCATCAGGTCTTCAGCAATCTCCCTGCACTCCATCTTATCTAAGGGGCTGAAGATGGAAAATTCAAACAGCAAGCAATCACAAAGGAGGTAAGCCTTGAAAAACACTTCAGAGTTTTCTGCCAAAGGAAATACAAAAACCACTTGGCTCTAATAGTTCCTCAGTGAACAGTGACACAGTTAGAGAAATCCCTGAGAAGAAAGATGAATCCTGGCTCTGACAATGTCTTGGGGGCCAAAGACTTTAGGGGCAGCTTCTAGACAAAGCTGAGGGCTTCCTCAGGTTCCAATGAATGATGAGGTGGAACAGAAAACCTAAAATTGGTGCTATTCTCCACAATGGGCGAGAAGTTCAGAATTTATAAGAGCTCAGAAACAAAGCTAGAGCTTTGACAATAACTCTAAGCAGCCAACGTGGAAAAAGATACAGGATTATTTTTTCACTTGGGGGAAAACATTAAACCACAGCCTTCTTCCAGCTTGGATCCTGGGGTCCAATGAACCCTCCCAACTACTATACCCCAAGAACAAGCCCTAAAGTTACAGCTGTGTTCTGGAAATGCTCTTACCGTCTGGAACCTCATCCGGCCTCTTCCTCTTTTCATATATCACAATGATCACCACAAGGATGATGATTTCGGCCAAGATCCCCAGGAAGGGCCAGAGTGGGGCCAGGTGGCTCCGCACTCTCAGGACAGTGACGAAGGAGTCTGAGCCAATGGCATTGGTAGCATTACACTCATACTCGCCAGGATCTTCAGTAATTTGGAGGTTAACGATGTTCAGCTCAGTGTAGTTTTCTTTGTTGACGATGAAGAATCGGCCAGAAGTATTGAGTAAGTCCTGCTCAGGGGGCAGAAGAAGTGAGGGTAAACAAGAGTCAGGGTGGATAAGCCAGTGCCCTGTTGCATTTGAAACATTTCAGTTCACCCAGAAGGGGAGAACCTCAGTACCCTGGTCTCAAACTCTCTCTACATGATAAGGATGTGGCCAGGACGTGTCTCAAATGAGACTGGAAAAGCTTGCTTCCAAACATAAATTGCTCCATGCCCAATGGCCAGTGGATCCAGAAACAACTTTATTCCTAGCTTCATCCACTTAATCCTTGATGTGTTGTGGGGAATCTTCACAACCTAGATCTCTCTCAAGCAAATGCTAAGAGATCTTTGTCAAAAGGTCCCTCCAACCAAATTCTTTCTTTCCTTTGCTCCAGTCTTTGAAAAAGAAGTTACGTTTGACACAGTGTCCTTAGTCATGTGGTCTTTTCTCCACTGATCATCTTCCCTCTCTCCAGAGCTACTGTTTTCTCCCCTTCTGCCTATAACCTACTTAGGTCGTCCCTGTCTTTAAAAAAAAAAAAAAAAAAAAGACTTCCATGACCCTGCTATTTCTCCCTCAGGTCAATGTCCTCTCTCTGTTTCATCCCCAAACTTCCAAAAACACAAGCAGTCCCCATGGCTGCCTCCATACTGGCACTGCTCCTGAACTGACTGCACTATGTCAACCATGCTCGCTGTGCTACTGAAATCTCTCTCCAAGGCCACCAATAACCTGTGGACACCAAGGCCAAAGGCTCCCTCAGACTCCTCAACCCTTCTCAACCCTTGTGAAATATCTAACACTCCTGACCACTGCACTTCCTCCTCAATAAAAGTCACTAATAGGATCACAGAGTTAGAAGCTAGATGGAACCTCAGGTCATCTACTCAAAACCCCTTGCTTTTCAGATGAGGAAATTCTAAGTGACTTTGTCAAGGTCACACAAGCAGGCAAGTGGCAGAGGTGGGATTCAAACCCAGGTTCTGTGACTCCAAATACCATGCTCCACCCACTGTCTCCCCTCCCTTTCATCAACCACCAAGCATCATTAAGCACCAACGAGATACTAGATGCTGAGGATACAAAGAGAAAGAATAAAATAATCCCTACTTGCAAAGAAGTTACATACATCCCAATGAGGAGACAATAAGTTCAAATATAAGTATATATCAAATAAATATAAAGAGACCAAATACAAATTTAAAAATACAAGATAGTTTGAGGGAGAAGATACTGGCAAAAGGGGGTGACTGAGCTTGACCTTGGAAGTCTAGGAGGTGGTGGTAAGGAGGGAATGCATTCCAAGTTTTGGGGGATGGCCAGGGTAAAGGTACTCAGCTTTCATCATGCTGTTGTTCCCTAGGTTTCTGACCCTTCTGCTCTCTCTTCTGATGGTTCTTCTTCCTCCTACAACTCCAAAGTGTGGGCAACCCTTGTCTCTTTCTACTTCATTTGATCTCACTTCTTCAGTTCAAGTAACTCCAGAATCAGTTTTTCATCGCAGCTTCAGTTCTGCATTCCTAAATCCCAGTTGTGTATCACAACCTGAATATCTCACTGCAGCTTCAAATTTAGCATTCCAGTCATCTAACCTAAACATTTTAGACTCTCATTTCCCTCAATCCCAACATTCAATCAATTGCTAACTCCTGTCAATTTTTTCCTTCACAATCTCACCTTTCCACTCCCACCACACTACTTCAGGCCTTCACTATCCATCGCCTGAAGGACTACGAGCAACTCCTAACTGATCCTCCGTGCCACTTGTCTTTCTCTCTACACTCACTGTGACCACGATAATTACAGTTACTTGACTATCAATGCTCTGGAACCCCACAGAAAATTGGAGGCAGGAGGTATCACTCTTACTTTTCATAAAAATGCAAAAGCACTAACTGGCCTAAAAAATCTCTTCTCTTCACCCTTCTCCTACTTAAGAATTTTCTGTCTGACTGATTCACACTGGCAGCAAGGGAAGTAATTAAATGGTTTAAACGGGGGGTTCATTTTTAGCTCTGTTGAGAACAAGGGGAGGATCAAAGAAGGGCTAGGACTTGCTTGAGCTGGCTGATAATAACTGATGACAGTGAGAAAGCAGAGCACTCAACTCTCAATTTTGCTTCTTGGTTCTTTTCCAAGAAACATGATCTTTGGACATGGAATGGTGGAACAAAAATGGCTGCAAAGAAGGAGCAAAGCAAGACAAATGGGTAGACAGACAACATTGAGCTGTCCTCAGGAGGTCAAGTCATCAGATTCTGACAAGCCATACCCTGCATATGCACTTTAAAAATAAGCAGATGTGATTTCTGAGCCAGTAAAGCTTGGAGAAGGGGAAATGCACTGCATGAAAGGTCAACAATGACCCAGTTTCCAAAAAACAGTGAGCTTGACTTCATTTTCTGAGAATATTGTAGAATACATTTAAAGTAATGGTTTGTGAACACTTACTTAAGAGGGGGAGCAGTAATAACTAAAAGCTAGCAATGGCTTCACTGAGAACCAAGGCAGGCCAGGCTGACCTCATTTCCTATTTGGACAGCAGAAAGTGATCTAGCAGATTGGGAAAACGTAAATATATCAATATGACTTCAGCAAAGTTTTTGACAGTCTCGTGCTATCTTCAAGGGCAAGATTTATATAGTGAAGAGGATTTGAAATTGAAGGACTGGATCTACCAAGTCTAACTTTTACAAATGGACACATCAAATTAGCAGGAAGTCTCCAGAGGATTAACCCAGACTATTCAATATTCTTATCAGTTACTCAAAAGCAAAAACTGTATGCCTGTCAGATCTGTACCATGTTTTGTGACAACTAGAGTCCATTAAGGTCACAACAGGCTAGAATGATGGGGCCCAAATCAAATGAGATATAATTTAATATGGATAAATATAAAGTCCTACACTTAGATTAAAAAAAAATCAGCTTCACAAATACAGGATGAGTGAGCCATTGGGCAGGGAAGAGAAGAAGTGGAAAAGATCTAGGGTTTGCGGTAGACTGATAGCTCAGTCAATATATGTCAACAGTGTCAACATGGCAGCCTAAAAACCTAAGGCTTAATTAATAGATATATAATAAACCAGAATGAATAAATGATTAGGTCTGCTCTGGGGTGGCCTAGTCAGGCCACATCTGGATTACTGGATTCAGCTCTGTGCACATACCACATTTTAGAAAGACAGGTAGCTGTGTGTCCAGAAGAGGGCAACAAGGATGGCAAGAGACAAAATATGCTATAAAAGGATCTGTTGTATTTTTAGCTCCACTGTTTGGCATTTAAAGCTCTTCAAACCTGGCTCCAACCTACCTATCCAACCCTGGCATACATTATGCCCTTTCACATAACAGCAGGGGTTCCCATATAAATTTCAGGGTATCTAAGAACACAGATGGGAAAAAATTTTTATCTTTACTTTCACTAACCTCTAACTGAAATTTAGCATTTCCTTCAATTAAAATTTTTTTAAAAATTATTTTGAGAAGTGATCCATTGACTTTACCAAACTGCCAAAGGGGTCCATGATACAAAAAAAGCTTAAAAAGTCCAGCTCTAAAGTATGGTCAGCCTGGCCTTCTTGCTTCTCCTCCCACCTGACATCCCACTTGCCCTTTGGAAGATTGTCCGTCACACTTGCAGCGCCCTCCCTCCCTAACCACCACCTCTGAGAATCCCTAGCTTTCTTCACAGCTCAGCTCAAATGCCACCTCCTACATGGGTCATTTCTCAATCTACTTCAGCTGCTAGTGCCTCCCTGCCAGCACCAGGTCCTTATTTTGGATGTACTCAGAGACTGTCTCCCCAGACAGAAGGCAAACTACTTGAGGGCAGAGACTGCTTCAAGTTTATCTCAGTAGTGCCAGCACATAAACATTTACTAAATACCTAGTGACTGACTGACTTTAACTTGGAGAAGAGGAGACATCACAGCTGTAATGAAGTGTTTGAGAACAGTTATCTTGGGATGGAAAGATTAGACTGGTCCTGACAGGCTACACAGGGTTGCTGCAAACAGGCAGACTTAGATCTGATGTCAGGAAAATTATCCTAACGCTTAAGAGCTATACAAAGCAGAGACTGGGCCTGCCCTAAGTTAATATGGAATGCTCTTCACTGGAGATCTCCAGGAAGAGGCTGATTGACCACTTATTAGACTGTGAACTCCTTGAAGGCAGAGGCTTCTTTTGCCTTTCTTTGTATCCCCTATGCTTAGCACAGTGCCTGGCACATAGTAGGCACTTAATAAATGCTTATTGACTGACTAAAGGTATACTATAGAACGGATTCTTAATCAAGTGCAGGTTGGAATAGATAAGGCTTCTCTTATATTCTGTGCTTTGGGGGATAAAGAAGTTGGCGCACAACTGTGTGTGTCCCCAGACTGCTAGATGACTGTACTAATATCCCAAGGCCAAGTATTGAGAACTTAACTCTACCACTCACCACGAACATGCCATTTTCCTTCTTTCGCCACACCCAGTCTGGGTAAGGGTATCCAACTGACTTGCAGTACATAAGGGCCTCTTGCCCTTCATTCTTGTTCTCACTTCTTTTGTGGCCAGTGATCTCAGGCACAGCTGTAAAACAAAGATATATTTAAGGGATGTTGCTATGGGAGCCCCAGTTACGCACTAAGGCCTAACCTAATGGCTTGGAAGACTGCTTTTCAATTCACTGAAGCCACCAGTTCACTGATGAAGCTTGGAGAAGAGCATCCTAAGCATCCCACCAGAGTTTAACGATAAGACTCTTCCCCCAGCTCCCATCCCCAGGTAAGCCAGACAGACGCCAGGATACAACACAAAATTTCCAGGCGTAGTACCCCAACCTGTTGAAAAAGTACAAGGTATTCCACAAAGTACATTTAATTGTCTAAAGTTTAGCTTTTTTTGGAAAATAAGAAAACCATATTTTCCCAACATTTTCCTTCAAAAAATCTTTTAAAAGCAAACACTTGCCAACCATATAAAAGATTGCTACAAATCACTAATAAGAAAAATGTAAATCAAAGCTTAGTTTTCACCTCACACCAGCAAAATGGCAAAGATGACAATATATAGGAATACTGAATGTGTGTGATGGGGGAAACACAGGCACACTACACCAGTTGGTGGAATTGTGACTAATTCAACCATTCTGGAAAGTAATTTGTAATAACGCAGGGGGAAAAAAAGTGACTAAATTATGGATATCCTCAAACATTACACTGCTAGGGAGATCTGTGACCTCAAAGAGGTCAAAGCTAGAAAGGTCTATCATTCCCATACCACTTCCCCCCAAAAAACCCCAAATACCCCCCAAATATTTACAGTAGCATTTTCTGTAGAAAGCAGATGTCAATCACTTGGGAATAGCTACCAAAAAAAACTGTAGTTCATTAATGTAATAAAATACTACTGCAATGTAAAAATGAATATGAAGGATTCAGAGAAGCATAGGATATGAACTGATAGTGACAGATGGAGATGGAGAGAGGTGAAGGAGGGAGATAAGGGGAGAGAGAAGAGGGAGCAGGAGGGGAAGGAGACAGAGGTAGGAGGGTCGGGTTGGAGTAGAGTAAGTAAAAGAGAAGATATAGGTGAAGGGAGGCTAAAGTGGAGACGAAAAAACCCAGGACACTTAGGTGCAGAATGGGTGGGGGTAGGGGAGGGAAGAACAAAAAAGACCAGTTACATTTTCCAAATACAAGTCATAGCTCCCTAAATCACAGTTGAAATTTTTCAGCACCAAAGAGAGGAGGCTAGATGGACTAGCTCATCCCACCAAGTAAATTTTTGGGGGGCAGTACCTGGTTGGTCCTCAGATCTCCAACTTGTCCTTTGGGGACTTCTCTTTGCCCTGACTCCTTAAACAAATCTTTGCCTCACCCTCAGAATAAACATACCCAACACCAATCACAACCATGGAAACCTCATGATCCCAGATCTCCTGGAATCGGGGTTGTGGGGAGTGTTGTAGAGGTGACCAGCTGCCCAACATTCTCAGTTCTGGCTTCTTCCCATACTTAACACTGCCTGGTCTTCGTCATTCCCTCTTCACTTTCCACTGGAGCCCTTCTCCAAAACCTGCCTCATCAAAAACATTCTGAACACACCCAGCCTTGCCATCCAGTGCCCCCAGGTGTCAGACTGTCTTAGGGAGCTGTCACCCAAATTTATTAGTGTAGCCACCTAAACAGAGACCTTAGAGTGCACTGACCATTGTAAAGGCTGACACTCCAAAAACCCTCACTGGCTTTTAGGGTAGCTAAATGCCTTAACACACCCCACTTAACATATCCTGACTGACTAGCACTGTGCCCCCTAATCCTGCTTCTGGAGTCTTCCCTTGCTTCTCCATCTACTACACGATATAAAAAAGGAGCTTCCAATGCAAAGACACTTTTCACTTTGTGCACAGGTCTTTCAATAGCTATGTTAACTGACAATTCCACCTTGATAAAGAAGTCCTTGCTACACAGGAAAAACAGGTAAATGGCCAATGCTTATTAGCTACGTGCACCAAGGTTCTCAGACCAAAAGAAAAAATTCCCAAGGACCCAGGCCAGTGCTAGTAGTCCCCACCCTAGAGAAAGGTGGCTATCCCTATGCTGCTGCAGACTACCAGGCATAACCCAGGACTCTCACACACAGAAGAACAAGGGCCCTGCCTCCTGGGGCAGGACACTCAAGCATTGGAACTTTGGTGGAGACCTGGAGACCTTATCATCAAATGTGTCCAAAGAAAACAACACGCCTGTAATTTTAGGTGACTTTAACGCCAGAATAGGCACAGCCTACCAGGTATGTCAGGGATTCCTTGGGAGGAATGGAAGCAGAAATAGCAAGTCATTACTGAAGACTCGTGAGTCTCATGACCTTATCACCAACACTGTCTTCCATGTACCTAAATGCAATAAAACTATGTGGATGCACCCTCGAAGCAAATACTGGCGTTTAGTAGACTATGTCATTAAAAAGAAGAGATAGACAAGATGCGAGAGTGACAAAGATGAGGTGTGGCACAGAGTGCTGGATCGATCAGACTTTGGTGAAGCACACATACACTGAACATTGTGCTGGAAAGAATATATATCAACACAGTCCTTACACTTAGGATGTGTCCTCAATGGTAGAGGACAATCAGAGTAGCAACAGGACTGTAAGGACAAAGACTGAGGCCAGAGAGGTTCAGAACTGAGAATAAACGATAGATACAAATGAATGAAAAAGCAGTGTTTATGTGCCAAGCACCATTCTGAATCATAGAGGATACAAATTCAACAGCAAAGATGGTCGCTGTCTTTTGTTGTTGTTATTATTTTAACATTCTTATCTTTTTAAATTGAGTTCCCAACTCTCTCCCTCTCTCATACCCTTCCCCCACCCATTGAGAAGGCAAACAATATGTCAATTATACATGTGAAATCATGCAAAACATATTTCCATATTAGCCATATTATAAAACAAGGCAAAAATGGAGCTGTACATGCAGCCAAACACTCCAAAGGCCCAGGGCACATACGATACACAGTAAGCTCTCAAGTTTACCAGAGTTTAAGAGGAGGATGATACCCTCCACATTGGCTGATACCAGCCACCTGGCCTTCTACTTGCACCAGGGATTGTCGAGTACAGCTCCTTTTCTGATGGGTTCATGACAGGTTCTCCACAGGGAACCAGAGTCTTCTCCTTTCACTCATTGCCAGGATGTTACTGGCGATTTTACAAAAAAGAACTTCAAAGGCAGTCAGGCAGTTAGCAGCAGTAATACCCAGCTTAGGAGTTAGTAATCTGCCTCAATACTAGACTCGAGTTTATGTGCATATATGTTCCATGCACATAACTGCAAAACTGTACAGAAGTTGAAATATTGAGTCTCTATCAAATTTGACTATCCCATAATTTAAGGGTATTCAACTTCCATGCAGAGTTTTGAGGATAAGGAAAAGATACCGGAATTCTTCAAGAATACTTCTGGAAGGTCAGTGTGAACAAAGTATGATAGCTCATGTTGTTAGGACTGTCCAGAATGGAATCTCATTTCTACCCCCAGGTGAATACAAGCTAAATGCATTCCCAATCACTGGGCACAGGGCTTCTTTCTCTTGATCCAAGAGCCAAGAGAATACAACCCTTCAAGATTTAAGACATTTACTGGTGGCTTTCTATTCTCTGGTCTTCCTGATCTAACATACTGATACTTGGGAGAGTCAGGAAAGGCAAGGGGTTCAGAGGACATAGAACTTCACCTTTTTTGGCTGCTAAGCAAACAGAAAAAAGTCGTCCTTCTTACACTGAAGGCATCCATCCCTTAGCAATCATTAACTCCAAATCTGTAATGACTACTATTACGCAAAATGTGCAGTTGTGTGTAATTATTCATTAGGCATAATGATGGCAATTAACTGGATACTCCCTATATCCCACCTACCCTATCTCTTCTAACTAGTTGATTCTGTGCCAGAAGCTCAAACTAGAAAGGTAGATTTGCCCTGAGTCCTATTTAGCCAAATCAATAGTCTAGCCACCCAGTTCATCTCAGCTACCAGCTGCTGGAGACACATTGGGGGCTTAAAACAGACAAATATGTTTGCCATTTTCCTCAATCCTTTGACTATCAGCCTATAGATGGATAAAAGGACAGCCACCCTATAAAAATGTAGGTAAATCCAAGCCTCTGGCTTTTCTCCAAAACCACAGAATAGTACTGTATAAAATTCAAGTTTCCTTTTCTGAAGATGACTTCCCGTATAATGGAACCAATGCTAGCATATTGTGACATTTGCCTTCCTGGTATGGCTACAACATCTATTCTGTGCATAACAGAAGCACCAGTGGACATATTATGGGACAGCATAGGAGTATGCCAACTTTGGAGCTTAGGGATACTGCAAAACATCTAATCTCCTTTAATAACTAAGTATGGATCAGTCATCCATTAATTTAAATCATTTTAAATCCATATTTTCAACATGTGCCATATTTCATGGGGGTATAAAAAGCTCTATACATTTACTTCCTATTATATAAAAAGGATTTCACCCAACTGACCCTCAATATATCATTCAAATATCAGGGGATGTTCCATCACTTCTAGAACATTAAGTGCCCCAAGATAGTGGTGAAGGTGGTGGCTGGGAGAGGGAGATTCTCAGGAAAAGGACTACAAAGACACAGGATAAATGAATAAACGAGCTCCAAGAGGCACTTTCATCTAATAAGAAGAGCTGAGCCCAGCCCAGATAGCTCAATGAGCCAGCCATTTCAGATGGCAGCCAAAAAAGCAAATGCTGTCTTCTTTTTGGACCACTGGTATGAGGAAATTCCCTCCACCATCAGCACCACTATAGCTTAGCGAGCTGCCTGGGGTACTGGGAGATAAAATGACCTGCCCATGGCTACACAATGAGCACCGCAGATGAAGACCTCTAATTCATGGATCTCTGCTTCCCAGGCCCTCTCTCTATGCACTATGACAAATGCCTCTCTAGAGAAATCTTAGATTTCAAGAAGAAAGGCAGTGTCCAAAGAGAGGAAGCTGTTGCAGTGATTACTGCTGTCTTCTGCTCTGGTCAGATTTCATCATGAGAAGTTTA